GCTACATTCTGAAAGCTGTGATAGATACTGGGTAAATACAAATGGGTTTCTTGCCTTTGTAAAATAGATGTACCTATAAACAGCTGAATGCGATGTGGTAAGAATTAAAACTAAGTATAAGTAAGTCCAAGTATGGATAAGTATAAATAAGTGGGAGCATAGAGCAGGGAGTTACTAGTTTTATTTAGGGAAGCTAAATAAAAGAGAGAATAACTGCTCAGATAAATCGATATTTAAATTACATCTGAAGGCATTTTACCAAGGAATGAATGGGAAGGGCATTTCGGTCTATGCAAATATGTGTAACATGAACAAAGACGTGTTTGGAAAATTACAAAATTAGCAATGCGATTAGGTTAGAGGGGACACTGGGAGTGAGAGGAAGACAATATGAGAAAAGAGGCTCTCTGTGAGCCTGAAAAGCAAGGTTGGGGCAAGATTATGAAGAATCAACTAGCTACGAAAATTCGACTTTATTGTACAGCTGGTGGAGAGTTTATAAGACAACTCTTTAAAAGGCAGAGTATAATGTACATAAAATCTTAGTATATGATCTAATTATCAGAATTATTCTTGGTCTTTTTCCATTACTTTTTTTTTTTAACCTGTAAAATGATGAGCAGAGTTAGATCCCTTTTTATTTATTTATTTTTTTACTGTGAGTCAAGATGTACTACTCGGTATTAAAATCAGTTATGTGGGTTGAGAACAAAAATATAAAATAGAACAGAGCAAAATAAAAAAATTATAAACTGCCATCATATTTAATAAGGTTATCATTTTGGGAAACCTTTGTTTCAAGTATACATGTGTGCATTGGGTTCTAATATAAAATGTGTTCTTACTGTGGGTCATAGTAAAAAAAAAGTGCAGAAAAGGCTATTTAAAAATATCTAACGGTCTCTCCTAATTCAAATTTCCTATACTTCTACTACCTCCTATTGGCTGATTCTTTGGAAGTAAATATTATTAATTTAATTTCAGGTAGTTTGAAAAGATTCTATACTGTATAGATAAATGGAACTTTATATATAGATAATGGAACTATATAGATAAATAAACTTTTTTTTAAAAAATTTTTTAATGTTTATTTATTTTTGAGACAGGGAGAGACAGAGCATGAACGGGGGAGGGGCAGAGAGAGAGGGAGACACAGAATTGGAAGCAGGCTCCAGGCTCTGAGCCATCAGCCCAGAGCCCGACGCGGGGCTCGAACTCACGGACCACGAGATCGTGACCTGAGCTGAAGTCGGCCGCTTAACCGACTGAGACACCCAGGCGCCCCTTTGGCTATTTTAAACAAAGCTGCTATGAACATTTTCCTTTCTGGGGATCTATGTTTTGTTTTTAGTTTAAAAAAAAAATTTTTTTTTTTTTTTTTACATTTATTCATTTTTGAGAGACAGAGTGTGAATAGGGGAGGGGCACTGAGAGACACACACACAGAATCTGAAGCAGGCTCCAGGCTCTGAGGTGTCAGCACAGAGCCTGATGTGGGGCTGGAACACACAGACTGTGAGAGCATGACCTGAGCTGAAGTCAGACACCCCACCCACTGAGCCACCCAGGCGCCCCGACTGTGGGTCTATGTTTTAATTTCTCTGGGGTAAATATTTTGGAGTGGAATGATGGGTTATGTGATAAATGTATGTTTAACTTAAAAATTTTTTTAAAAACGTTTATTTATTTTGAGAGGGACAGAGAGCGTGCACGCGAGGGAGCGCATGAGCAGGGAAGGGGCAGAGACAGAGGGAGACACAGAATCCCAAGCAGGCTCTGTACTGTCAGCACAGGGCCCGATGCAGGGCTCTATCCCATCAACTGGGCACTTAACCAACTGAGCCATCCAGGTGCCCCCCTCCCCATCCCCACCCCCATCCCGGAGTCAAAGTAGTTTTCTTTCTTTCTTTCCAATGTGTATACTTGTATTTCTTTTTCTTACCCTATTGTAATGACGAGGACTTTTAGGATGATAATTAACAGAAGTGGTGAGGGCATAAACTTGCCTCGTTCTTCACTCGTTCTTGATCTTAGCAGAAAAGCATTCAATATTTCATCAGTAAGCATGATGTTAGTTGTAGGGTTTTTACAGATGTCCTTTATCACACTGAGGAATTCCCTTTCTATTCTTAGTTTGGTAAGAGTTTTTATGAGTACTGAAGGTTTTCATATTCTTTTTTCTGCTTCTGTTGAGTTGACTATGTGCTTTTTCTTTATAACGGAACCTTAAATTCTTTGGAGTAAATCCCAGTTGGTCATGATGCAGTCTCTTTTTTTACACATGGTTGGATTTGATTTGTTAGTATTTTGGTAAGAAGTATTGCTTATGAGGAAATATTGGTCTACAGTTTTCTTATAACATCTTTGGTTTCAGCATCAGGGTAAATGATTGTCTCATAAAAATTAGTTGGGAAATATTTTTACTACTTATTTTTTTTATTTTTTGAGCGAGAGACAGAGCACGAGCAGGGGAGGGACAGAGAGAGAGAGGGATACACAGAATCTGAGGCAGACTCCAGGCTCTGAGCTGTCAGCACAGAGCCTGACGGGAGGCTCGAACTCAACGACCCTTGAGATCATGACCTGAGCTGAAGTCAGACGCTTGACCGACTGAGACACCCAGGTGCCCCTTCCTCTTCTATTTCTCAGAAAGCTTGCATAAGATTTATATTATTCCTTCCTAAAATGTTTGATCAATAATGAAGCCATCTGGGCCCGGAGTTTTCTTTGTGGGAAGGTTTTCAGGTATGAAGTCAATTTCTTTAATAGTTATAGGACTATTCAGATTTTCTATGCCTTCTTGAATAATATTAGGTAAGTTTTTGCACATTAATGACCATTTCATTTAAGTTATCGAATTTTTTGGCATAAAGTTGTTTACAATACAGAGATGTGGACTTTTACTTTTCGTTTTATCCCCTTCTACACTCTGAATATTTTTTTTTTTAATTTTTCTTAACGTTTTATTTATTTTTGAGACAGGGAGAGCCAGAGCATGAACAGGGGAGGGGCAGAGAGAGAGGGAGACACAGGATCCGAAACACGCTCCAGGCTGCGAGCTGTCAGCACAGAGCCCGACGCGGGGCTCGAACCCACGGACCGCGAGATCATGACCGGAGCCGAAGTCAGCCGCTTAACCGACTGAGCCACCCAGGCGCCCCAACACTCTGAATATTTTGAAAACTATATGAAGGTGCCTGAAGTTGAAAAATGTTGGGAAGTGGCGAAAGTAATAAGTTAAATGATTATAGTTAAATGCAAATCTTCTGTTATTTAATAATAAGTATTGCCTACTATGTGAACGACATTGTGCTGGGTGCTGAAAAGGCAAAGTTTTTGCCTTTATGGAGCTTGTGGTATAGTGGGAGATATTTGAAGTATTATGTATAACATAATATACACCCATTATGTATAACAAAAAGGTATAACAGAAACAAGAGGAAGCATTAGAGAAAATTCATTTGAAGTAAGTACCTGGTGAAAGTCAGTCAGAGAAAGACAAAGACCATTTGATTTCACTCTTAGGTGGAATTTAAGAAACAAAACTAACAAAGGGAAAAAAAAAAAAAAAGAGACAACCCAAAAAACGGACTTTTTTTTTAAGATTTTATTTTTAAGTATCTCTACACCTAACGTGGGGCTCGAACTTACAACCCCGAAAATGAGAGTCACATGCTCTACTGACTCAGTCAGCTAGGCGCCCCCCAAAACCGGACTCTTTAACTGTAGAGAACACATAGATGGTTACCGGAGGGAAGGTGGGTGGAGGGGTGGCTGCAATGGGTGAAAGGGATTAAGGGCACACTTATCTTTTTTTTTTTTTAATTTTTTTTTAATGTTTATTTATTTTGGGGACAGAGAGAGACAGAGCATGAATGGGGGAGGGGCAGAGAGAGAGGGAGACACAGAATCGGAAGCAGGCTCCAGGCTCTGAGCCATCAGCCCAGAGCCCGACGCGGGGCTCGAACTCACGGACCGCCAGATCATGACCTGAGCTGAAGTCGGACGCTCAACCGACTGAGCCACCCAGGCGCCCCAAGGGCACACTTATCTTGATGAGCAGTGAGTAATATATGGAACCGTTGGCTCACTATATTGTACACTTGAAACTAATACGACACTGCATGTTAGTTAACTACACTGGAATTAGAATAAAAAAAATATGATAATTGGTGAAGTCACAAAGGAGGTAATATTTGAGCAGATATGTGAATGTATCAGTTTGCCAAATTGACAGGCCCGGGGAAAGTGTTCAAGATAGTAGGTTTAAGCACAAGTAAGTGTTTGAAGAATATGAAGAACAGAATTCCGGAATGAGAAATAGTTGAGGATTACTGAAATTTGAAGTGAAAGTTTGCTGTTTTTCTTTTTGTCTGTTTTTTTATCTTAAATATTTTCCTATGGTTCTAATATCAAGCCATATTTTTAAAAATTTTTATGTTATTGGGGCGCCTGGGTGGCGCAGTCGGTTGAGCGTCCGACTTCAGCCAGGTCACTATCTCGCGGTCCGTGAGTTCGAGCCCTGCGTCGGGCTCTGGGCTGATGGCTCAGAGCCTGGAGCCTGTTTCTGATTCTGTGTCTCCCTCTCTCTCTGCCCCTCCCCTGTTCATGCTCTGTCTCTCTCCCAAAAATAAAAATAAACGTTTGAAAAAAAAATTAAAAATTTTTATGTTATATATGTTTTAAATATATATTTTTTCGATTGATAGACGTTCATGTTGTTTCGTAGTTTTCACTATTACAAACAATGCTGTAATAAACATTGTCCCTACTTTTCTGCACATGTAAGAATGTCTCTAAAATAAGTATTAGTGGATTTACCAAATTGAATGTTATTTACAATATTTTGATCAATTCTGCTAAATTTCACTTCATTCTTGGTGCCAGTATTTGACAGTAGCTGATTTCCCACATCCTTGACAGGGATACATCATAAGGCTTTTTGAATTTTAAGATTATCCCTTAGCTACGTCGACAATTAAGGACCCATTTTCAACCAGTCAAGATAACGAAGTGGTTAAGACCACTCTTGTATTGTAGTCACAGTTGAGTTTGTATCTTGGTTTTGACATTTGCCATCCACGTTAAACAGTTTCTAAGCGATAGTGTTGAGGCAAGTTTACCTGTGGAGTGTACAAGAAACATATTTATGGAAAGAATTCAGTTGGATTTATCATTATAGGACTGGGAGCAAATAGCGGGCATTAAATAACCGTTCATCATTCTTCGCGAATTTGTCAGGAATTGAGGGTCCCATTTAAGAGTTTAAGAGGTTCACATTTTCCAAAAAGATAACCAGAATGCACATCGGAAGTGCGGCAAACTTTTTCAACAAGTGCTTTTAATCCGAGATTAAAAGGTGCTATCAGGCAACTCATCAGGCTGCGCATTTTAAACGTTGAGACGCTGGAGGATTAAAATCCACCACGTCTACGACTGGGTCATACATTTACCATAGGTATCCAGTCTGAGATTACCGACGGGCAGATACCCCTTTTTTGCCAGGAAACTACGGCTAAATAGTGACTTCTGTCAGAAAAAAAATCCTCCAGATTCCAACACAGTCCGCCTCCTTCCTAAGCACTGCGGGCACCTGCTAGCCGCAAGATGGCGATTACCCCCAACCACCTTTCCGAAACGGAGATTTCCATAACGCGACTCGCCGCGCCCTGGAAAGGAAGTTTTGCCATTACCCAAGATGGCGAACTGCGCAGCTTCACGGTTTCCAGCTTTCAATATGGCTTCCCCAACCCGCACCACCGGAGGTTAATCTCAGGAACCAAACTAAACTCGCGCGGAAGTAGCGTCAGCGGAAGTTGCGCCTGGCCCAACTTCCCACCCCCCCCCCCCCCACGCCCGCCCCCGTCCCTACGCCCCGCCCCCGGTGGCGCGGAGTGCAGAGCCAAGATGGCGGCAGAGTTGGAGTACGAGTCTGTTCTGTGTGTGAAGCCCGACGTTAGCGTCTACCGGATCCCTCCCCGGGCCTCCAACCGCGGTTACAGGTACTAGCCCCGAGGCTCTGCAGTACACGCATACCGGGTCGGGGATGACAGTGTCCTCCTCAGGTGGCACGCTGCGAGTCCCCGCCACTGCCACCTCTGAGTTGTCACTTTGCTAGCCTCCCCACCAGGGTTGTTCTCGCCCCGTCCTCCTGTTCTTTTCCCAGTGTGGCATGCCAGCCTGGTTTCCGCCGCTTAAAAAAATTTACCATCTGCGTCTTCCCACGCCTCCTCCCTTGGGCCCCTCGGGGTTACCCATCTGCTCCCCATCATACCCATCCCGTCGTGCCTGCTCCATCGCCTGTCACCTTTGGTTCGTTCTTTCTTGCGTCCTTCGGTTTCTCCTCCTCGTCGTACCCCCTCCTGACCTCCCTGTCTCTCATAAACATTTCCAGTACCCCGTGCATAATGGTGGGTAATCATCGTGTCGGCCGCTCTCTAGGTGATACGATTTAATCTTTTGTGCCAGTCTTGCCACCAAGCATGATCCGCCGTTTGGTTTTCCTTTCACTTTTTTGCTAGTGGCAAAGGTTATGATGGTAGGTTTTCCAGTGGTTGTCCATTCTGTTTTTTTTTTTTTTTCCCAGTACATTTTCTTGATGATTACATGGTATTTTCTATTTTCCTTTCCTCCCTTCTTAATCTCTCTTATAGCCTTTCTCTCCAAAGTTAATGCAGCATTTTCTCTGTAGGGCTAACCAACCACCTTGTGATCGCGTGTCGGTGAGGTTCTGAGGATGCTCTAGGCAGTCATGAAGTCATGTAGTGGAAGGAGTTAACACGTTAACCGGGTTACATATTCAAAAATACGGGTATGAACCCTGACAGTTTAACAGCTGTATGATTTGGGACAAATCGCTTAATCTCTGCAAGCCTCAGTTTTCTCATCTGTAAAATAGAAAAAAAAAAGTGATCAGAAAACCTGCTCTGGTTCTGTACCTCAGAGAAGTTTTTGGAGGGTTACGTGACGTAGTATAAGAAATGTGAAAAAATTTAGGAAACAGGAAAGCAGCATATTAAATACAAGGCACTGTTCTTACCCCTCTCTCGTCCACCTCACCATCATGATTTTCCTCTTGGCATTTATCATTGCTTTGGCTCTTGTCCTCCTCCTGTGGCCATTAGCTTGCCTCCTTACTGGGGTTTCATTCATCATGGATCACGCTCCTCGTGCTTGCTGACCTGTGCACTAGACACTGTGGGTTGCACGTTTTTGGCGGAGGTGGTCCTAATTCCAGTTTTTCAGTCAGGCCCCAAATCGACCACGAATAGGAATCTACGTGCTTTTCGATGGTAGTTACTGGTAGTGGTGTGTGAGTCAGCAGGGACATCTGGTGCTTTGGGCTTCCCGAAGGAGTGACCCTGCCATTCTGGCTTAGGTACGCTCTGTGCGGGCCTCCGTAGCACCACTGCTGATCTCTGTCCTAGTGCTCTTCCTTCTGTATTGTAATTGATTGTTCCGTCTGCTGTTTCTCCAGACTAGCTGTGAACGACTTCAGGTCTTTTCTAAGTTTATAGTACCAGGGTCTAGTACAGTGTCCTGCACATAGCGGGCACTCTGTAAACTTGGGAGAAATTAGTAGATTCCACTTCATCACATAAATTAGCAGTGATTGAACTGTTCAGTAGTTAAGACTTCCGAAAGGGTATGATACATCATACAGTGGGGTTCTCTTCTCTTTCTTCTACTTTAAGCTTTTGCAGCGACCTTCCTCCTCTGACCCACCTGCATTCTCAACTTTCACTTTCTGGTTTATCCACAGCCTTTGATCTGCATGTCAGTTAACTGCACTGAGCCATCAAAACAATTTCTTAATTTTCCTCTATTTCTTGTTGTCTGTGTTTTCTATGCGTATTATTGACATTTCTTATCCTCAAGAGGCATTTTATCATTAGCCACTCTTAGTATAGTGAGTGAAGAGAGCTGAACTAAGTGTGCATCGAGATTCCCATTTATTTGCTGGGTTACTCTTGGCAAGACACCTAACTCTTTTTAATTTTTTTAATGTTTATTTATTTTTGAGAGAGACAGAGATGGAATGCGAGTGGGTTAGGGGCAGAGAGAGAGGGAGACAGAATCTGAAGCAGGCTCCAGGCTCTGCGCTGTCAGCGCAGAGCCTGACGCGGGGCTCGAACTCACAAACCATGAGGTCGTGACCTGAGCCGAAGTCGGACGCTCAACCGACTGAGCCACCCAGGCGCCCCACACCTCTCTTGAACTGTAGTTTCCTCGTTTGTAAAAATGGATATCCTACTACTTACCTTGCAGTATCCTTTCACTTAATTTTCATAGGAATAGGCATAATGCTTGGCATATAATAGGTACTTGATAAATGTTACTTTTATGCCTTTTTGTCTGCCTAATCTTGTTTACAGAACCCATTTTACATTATGAGCATGACTTATTCTTTAGGCTGCCTTTAAAGGAAAAACTGGGATTTTTAGGAAGCAGGAGGAATACTTTGAGTGATTAGTAAGATTGAGGGAATGAATGACTTTGATTCACGTAGTGTAAGCTGTTGCTTCGCAGACTTGCTCTGACAATGTAGATCGATGAGAATGTTAGAAATGATTAGAAAATGGTTTCCCAACCTATGAAACTGTTGTCATATTCATCACTGCCCTTCCCCTCAGCTAAATCATTAGTAAACTCAATAGTCTGTTTTAATGTAATGAGAAGAATGCTGGACTTCGAAGTTAGGCATTACTTCCTGTGTTGCTATTCGTCATTGAGACGGACAGAGATGGTAGGCTTTCCATGCCTATTCCAGATGGTTGCTGTAAGGGCTTATTACTGATGTCAATGAAAATTTGTGAAGTCAGTTCAGAAGACCAGCGAAACCAAGAGTTCCTCGGGCTAGGTCTTGGGAATGGGAAAGGAACTAAGGCTCAGGGCTGAGGGAAATTGCTGCTGGGGATATCCATTCACTTACTGAGGATTTGTTAAATATTGGCCACTGGACACGCAAGATAAATAAGCCAAGGAACCTGTCCCAGGAAACACATCTAGTAGGCTTGTTCCTGATATATTCAGTACACAGTGTTTAGCTCATGGTGTGATGGTAGAATAAGTAATGACTCCTTAAAAAAAATTAAAACTCGGGGACCTTTAGAGCATTATAGTGTGGATCAGATTCAAGTACTTGAGGCACCGCATTAAGAGATGAGGGCATGACAAGGATTTATAAATCCTGTTCAAAACCTGTGCTAATTTTCATTTTTTTTTTTCCTTTCCACCTTTGCTTCTTGTTTAGATATATTTTATTGTTACCTTTCTGCCTTGCAAGTATTAGTCTTCAGGTTTCTGAGGGATGAGGTTTTTTATTTAAAGATTTTATTTATTTTTTAATTATTATTTTTTAAAGTTTATTTATTTTTGAGACAGAGAGAGACAGAGCATGAACGGGGGAGGGTCAGAGAGAGAGGGAGACACAGAATCGGAAGCAGGCTCCAGGCTCTGAGCCATCAGCCCAGAGCCCGACACGGGGCTCGAACTCACGGACCGCGAGATCGTGACCTGAGCTGAAGTCGGACGCTTAACCAACTGCGCCACCCAGGTGCCCCAAAGATTTTATTTTTTAAAAATTTTTATTCTTTTTGAGAGACAAAAAGAGAGAGAGCATGGGATAGAGGCAGAGGGAGAGAGAGAATCCCAAGCAGGCTCTGCCCTCAGTGTGGGCCCCATGCGGGGTTCGATCTTGTGACCGCGAGATCGCGAATGCAGCTGAAATTTAGAGCCTGGTGCTCAACTGACTGAGCCACCAAGGTCCCCTGAGATTTTATTTTTATGTAATCTCTGTACCCAACACGGGGCTTGAACTCACAACCTCAAGATCAAAAGTCACATGCTCTAGGGATTGAGCCAGCCAGGTGCCCCATGTTGAGTTGCTTAATAACTTTTACTTTGCCCTCTCTTTTCCACACGCTGACAAAAACAAACTCACAAATTCAGAGCTTTGTAAAATTGGTCATATTTAAATAATGTCTTAGATTTCCTTCAAATTCGTGTATCACACAGATTATAAGTATTCAGTGTTTTGTAATGTTTCCACGGACATCTGTATCTCTAGCCCACATGTTTTTCCTGAACTCCTGACTCATATTCAAATGCCTTCTCTGTATCTTCACTTGAGAAATCAGTTTGACGTCTCCAGCTCAACATATTCAAAACTGAACTCCTGAGCTTCTCAGACATGCTCTACCTATAGCCTTTCTGTCTCAGTTATTGGCCGCTCCTTTGCTCAGGCGAAAAACTTCAGCGTCATCCTTGACTCCTCCTACCTCACATTCAGTCCTTTAGAAAACCCCATTTCTTTGCTTTAAATGTATCTAGAATCTAGCCGCTTCTGCTCCTGTCCCTTCCTAGTCACCGTCATGACTCCTGGATTGTGGTGGTAGTCTCTTAACTATAATCCCCCTGCTTCAGTATTTACATTGCTTCTACTTACAACAGACAAGGTGATCCTTTTAAAGTCAAAGGAAGATCATGTTTCACCTCTGCTTAAAACTGGTACTGGCTCCTTTTTCACTCAGTAAAAGCTAAAGTTCGTACGAGGCCTATAAAATTTGCCCCTCTGTTACCTCACCCCCACCTCATCTCTTATTTTATTCCAGCTGCAGTGGCTTTCTTTTTGAGGGCAAGCATTCCAGGTACATTCGCACCTTAGCACCTTTGCACTAATTGTTTCAAACCTGGAGCTTCTCCCCCCCTCCCCCCCATATCTGCATGAGTAACTCTCTTGCTTCCTTCACATTTTTGTCCACATTTCACCTTGTTTAAAAAAAAAATTTTTTTTTTAATGTTTATTTATTTTGGAGAGAGACAGAGACAGAATGCGAGTGGGTTCGGGGCAGAGAGAGAGGGAGACACAGAATCTGAAGCAGCTCCAGGCTCTGAGGTGTCAGCACAGAGCCCGACATGGGGCTCGAACTCAGGAGCTGTGAGATCATGACCTGAACTGAAGTCACACGCTCAACCAACTGAGCCACCCAGGTGCCACCTCGTTTCACCTTCGCCTCCCCTGACTACCCTCTTGAATGCTGCAACCTGTTTACTCTCCCACTACCCTCCCGATTTCCCTTTTCTGTTTCTTCATTTTCTTTCTGCTTTAGCACTTACCATTTTCTGAGATACTAATTATTTTACTTGTTATGTTTATTTTTTATTGTCTATTTTCTATTAGAATATAAACCTCACGAGGGTAGGAGTCTTTGTTTTGTTCATTCACCTAGAACAGTGCCTGTGACTTAATATGCATTCTGTAAGTATTGGTTGAATTTAGTGAAAGATGATAATACATTTAGGGATTTGGGAAGCCTTCTGTTACCCAGTATAGTTCACTCAGTAGACTCTGTTATTACTTGATCAGTAAAACACTATTATATAAAATATCATCTGCGGTGTGGCAGTATAGTACCATTATGAGAGTTAGTTTTAATTGCTTGTATTTGTACTTTTACGTGTTTTTATTGATGCTTATTAGACTCCAGAATTCTTAAGGAGTAACACTGTCTTTTGTTTGCTTTGGATTATATGTCATACGAGGCATCTGGGCAGCAGGGATCATGAGTTATTCTTGTTAATTATTTAATAGGTAGAATAAGCAAGAAGGGAAATAGAAATACGGCAAATGATTCTGTGTAGGTTTTTCGTAATAAAAGCCATAGACTTGAGGCTTCCTATTTTCCTGTCCTAGGGCATCTGACTGGAAATTAGACCAGCCTGATTGGACTGGCCGCCTCCGAATCACTTCAAAAGGGAAGATTGCTTATATCAAGCTTGAGGATAAAGTTTCAGGTAATCTGTGCTGGTGACCCTCTAACATATTAAGGGTATTAGTTTGGTGTGCCTTTTCTTTTCCTTTTTCTTTTCTTCTTCTTCTT